AGATCTTTAATGTCTTTTCCCTAGGGGTAATCAAAGAAAACAATTTACATTTTTTTCAAAATTGAGAGGAATATCTACATAAATAGGGATTACATAAATAGACATTCTCATATTCTTAAATAATTTTAAGCAAATACTTAAAATTTACACTATAGTTATACAATGTATATCAATTTTTAATGCAAATGAACAAACATAATTTTATCAGTAGTTCCAGAAATTAATAAATAAAACAAAAATTTGTTCTCCTAAATGAAAGAAGCATAAAGAGCTAGCAATTAAGAATGTATTATTCTACCTACTTATCTATTTATCTATCTATCCCAGAATATACACAGCAAAATTACTTGCACAGCTTCATTGTCTCATCAGAGTTTGTTCTAGAGGATATAAAATGATGACTAACAACCTGGTGGAATTTCTTATTTTGCTTGAAAAATAATTTTCTTATTTTGCTTGAAAAGCAATTGAGTCATGATTCACTAGCTTCCTAAAATATCTTTTAGAACTCAAGGGAAAAAGGGTAAAATAACCTGCACTGTAATTTTTTGTGAGATCTATTTGCAGTCATTCTCAAAAGCATTTCATAAAGCAAGGTTTGTTTTTGTCTTTTTTTAATTTTACAAACTCCCCCATAGACTGAATACTCTGAGAAGACTGGAAAGTATTTATAACTGAACAACACTCTTTTTTTATATGCCTTGGACAAACTTCTGCTTGTTCTTAACTAAAATATTTAGACTGCTCAGGAGTTTTGTACAAGTACAAAATTTTCATCATCTCTTCTTACACTTCTTGGCTTCGCCTCCACTGGATCTTCTCTACTCTGTCTACCTCTCTAGTGTCCAGCAGCTGACACAGTCGGAAACACTAGCCAGGCATGCCTGCCATGTCCTCCTGTCTGGCACAGCACATGGCCTCTGCTCTCACTGTCCTCTGCGTGTTCTTCTCATAGGCTGTCTTGGGAAGGATTTCTTATTTTGAATGAGGTCAGCGCATAACATATTAGCACCGCATACCTACTTTCAAATGTTCCAAGTTTCATTTGCTTTTCTCAGGGATCCACCCAACACTTAATTTGGAGGAACTGTTTTCCAAAATAAGTCAGTCTCTAGGAATGGCATCGTTGTTCATCTTTTAAAATATTGAATTTTTATTTCTATTTTTAAAATATAAGTGATGCTTAGCTGTAAATAAAAATATTTGAAAATATGGGAGTAGAAATATAAGTAAGTGCCCATCTAACTCAGAATTTATCTGAAGTTCGATACACTATGAGGACTGTCTCTTCATAATGAATCTGTACAGATTATGTTGAATTGTAATGAAACACATTTCCTATTTCTCCATTTTTTGACAGAACAGTAATGTATTTTTTCTTATTCATTTGTAATTCTATAGAAAAGTGATAGCTCATCTATTGTATGAATTAACTTTCATTTTTTTTTTCTTGTATTTAGGGCAGGAACTACAGGGTGTAGAAGGTCTTACTACATAGATCAGACTCGTAGTGATCATCCTGTTTTCATCCTCCCAAGTACTGGGATTAGCGCCACCATGCCCAGTCTCAATCCCCCTCTCAGTGTGCCCTGGGGGTAGGGCCAGCATGACAGACCAGGGATTGAACCCCCGGCAGCTGCGCTTTGCCTAATCATGTGCTTTAGTCTGCTGAGCTGTCAGTCCAGCTCTTTAACTTTCAATTTTTAAGGAGCAGTGTATCAGTGTAGTATATTTAGTGGATAATAATGTGCTTTTAAAAAAAAAAGTATAGTGTTTTAAGGTTTCCTGAGAGAAAAGGGCTGCACTATTGACAACAAAAAAAAGGTGGAGGATGAGTAGTTATTAATGAAAATGGAGGTATATAATAAAAATGCAAACTACTTTGTCAGCTTTTTGTTGTGACAAAAATATCAACTTAAAGGAGGAGAGACTTATTTTAGCTCATGGCTACAGAGATTTTAGTCCATGGTCAGCTGGCTTTATTGTTTCTGGGCCTCATGAGATAGAGCAAGATGGCAGACGGGTGTAACAGAGGAGAGCCACTCACATCAGGGCAATCAGGAAGGAGGGAAAGGACGAGAGTCAGCAAACAAGCCACCAAGGACAAGATACAGTCTGCAAGACCACAGCCATGATCCACTTCTTTCAGTTAGGCCACACCATCTGTGTTTCCATCATCTCCCATTCCTGCCATGAAATAATGAACACATCAATGGATTAATACCAATGAGGCTAGAGCCCTCATAATTTGATCACCTTCCAAAAGTCCTACTTCTGAACATGTGAGACTTTGGGGGCACATTATAGACCTGAACCATAATGTAAGTCTCTATCTGGTGTTAAATAACATGTCCCTAACTCAGTTCCTCTTCTCTGTTTCTCTGCTCTGGTTCCTTGGTGTTCATTTCATCCTCATAATCCCAAGATGACTACCAGTAGTTCCCGAAGCTGAATACTTCCATGCTTATGGAATAAGGGACTAGGAAGATCTGTCTGTTGCAAATGAGATGGAACCAAGTGGTGGATGGAGAGGATGAGTAGGGAAAGAGATGGGGACGTAGAAAGACTTGAGATGTGTTATGTACATGTGCTAAGTCCCCATAATGAATGTAATCATTACTCACTGCAAATACACACTAAAAAAAGTAAAATAAAAATTAGAATAAGGAATCAAAATTCTTGTTTCTCTGGGCAGTAAAGTTCCAGGGTCAAGATCCATTGACATCAAAAGGCATGTGTTGGGAGCCAGCGAGATAGCTCGGTGGGCTAAAGCAACTTCTTAGGCAAGCTTAGGCAAATGCAGGACCACAGCTGATCCCCAGCTCCACATGCCAAGCCAGCCCCACTCTCAGGGTAGACTGAGCCAGCCACAGAGTCCAAGTATAGTGGTCTACGCCTGTAATACCAGTGCTGGGGGGGCTGAAAACAAGAGGATCATTGTGAGTCCAAACTGCATAGTGAAACCCTGTAACAACCAAATACATTTTTAAAAAGGCATGTGTTTGTTCTTCTCATTGTAGGTAGAGATTTAGAGATATTGATTCTCAAAAGCTAATTAACATAAACCTGAAATGGAATGAGAATAAATCCTCCCACCTAAATATTAATGAGGGCTTAGAAAATATAAAAGAGTCTACATTGTAGAAAGATTTGAATACCAGTTTAAGAACCTTGGACTTAATCCTATAGACTAGTGGATGCTCTTGTACTTTGAACAAAAGAAGAATACAATGAAATCAATATGTTAATAAATTAAGTCTGAAAAAAGTTAAGCCTAAAGGCAGTTGTAGGACATGTAGCCATAATGTTAAGAGAGAGAGAGAGAGAGAGAGAGAGAGAGAGAGAGAGAGAGAGAGAGAGAGATCTGCTGAGGACTCTATGCCAGTACTCTGGGCAAAGAAAGAGAGAACTTGAGCTGTGACCAAGGAGGAGGACAATAGCAGTGACTTCGGCAGATGTGCAACATTTTTCCAAGAAAGAATCCACAGGATTCTTCTCAGAGGGTGAAACTCAGTCTTCCACAAAGACTCCAAATAATGTGGTGGTTTGAAGCACCAAGGCAGATAGGATTCTACCCTTTCCCAAGTCTTATTACTGGATCATCTTCCTCCAAACCAAGCTGTGAGCTGGCTTTCCTCTCCATCTTATTCTGGTTAGTTACTATTGCTTTGAGTCTCTTACTCCTGTATTATGACTTTCCTAGAAATCAGAAAGAAGGTGAGTTCCCACCTGCATCAGGGAAAGGCCATCCTTGATTCCACAGAATGGGAGCTCCCTTTTATTACAGTTTACATCCTAATGAATTTAAAAATATATATTACTTACCACACTCATAGCAGTGGAGCTTACCCTTCAGCAGTAATTTTGAGTGTTTTGTCCACCAACATAGCTTCCCTGAGCGAGGAACAGAGAACACAGATGCTTAAACAATTCCATTTCCAGAGTGGAGCGTGGCTGGTTCAGCCGCTCCTAGACAACAGCACCAGTAGCTTGGTTAAGTCTTCATTATATGTCACATCATCATGCCAGCATTGCTGATCTGCCTCCAAGCACCGTGTTCTCTCTCAAGGAAAGTAAATGTGTAGAAGAGAAGGAGGAGCAGGAATTCTCTACTCACCAGCAAGCAAAATCCTACCTCGGTTTTTACCCAGCACAATTCACGTACGGTAGTCAGTGTGCCAGAATATTGTCCCATTACTGCTCTTATTTCTGTTTGTGAGGCACAGCAAGGAAGAAGGGAGCTGGGGATGATTTCACAGTGTGCAGGCCACAGAGACCATGACAACGGTGGTCACATTGCGCTCGCACTTGGGAGGCAGATTGAACGTTTTGTGTCTGAACTTGTGTTTATACATTGTGATTCATCTACCCTTTAGAACACTTGCATGATTGAATACCAATTTTAAAACATATTTAGTCTCTTTTTGCATGGTCATATTCAGCTGACCTCATTCAACAAAAATGCTAGAATTTCAGTTTTCATGCGTAGCCAGTACTTTCAGACTAGAAAGGAGATTATCTTGTTTTTGCCTAATTATCTTGGTAGGCATTACCTATGAGAAAGGAAATACAGCAAAACTATTGGATGATCCCATTAGGGAGTTAGTAAATGTCTTCACTCTCTGATGAGGTTCTGACAGAATTTCACATTCAGATATATTACTGCGACCATGTCAACCAATCGTGAAAGAAACTCAGGGCCAGAATACAGCACCTCCATATCAAAAATAACTTAGTAACTATACTTCTTGATGCAAAGTTTAGAACAAGTAATTAAAGCTGTAAGAAATCTACCCAGATTTTCTTCAGGCAGTATCATCATGCACTTCTAACTTCACAATGACAGGAAATTTTAAATAACAACTGTGCTAAATCAGGGAGCAGCAAACGCAAGCCAAACTTAAATTTAGTAACACTGCTAGTTTACTGAAAATGACCTTCTCCATAGCAGGTACTCTAAGTTACAGGTGACTGACCGTTTGTTTTTCTGTTCTGTTTAGAGATCATCAGGTACCCACCAGCTGGCATTGGTGGCTTCTCTTCTCAGCGACGTCTCTGGTGTCTGCTGCAGGGGTCTTCTTGTCCAGTCCTAGCAGCGTTGGAAATCAGAGCTCTCCCACAGCTATTCTTGCAAACTTCCATTAGATATGTTCAAAACTCCCTGGGTGTGCATAAGAATTTGAAGGTAAGTGAATTTTAGAGGTAACTCACATTCTTGTGTAACTCTTAATTATATCAAAAGTAATTTTAAAAATATAGATGTAAAGTAAAATCATCTAATAAATGTAAGAAAAATACCTACTAATGTGCAGTTGTACTGCAAAAAGCAAAATAGGTAAAATACAGTGTTTAAAAGTGGCCTAAATCACATCCATAGCAGGCCCGGTGGAAATCTGGCCCTCATAATCTGTTTCCCATGAGAAGTCAGGGCCACAGGGCTTTGCAGACTGTTATGTGTGTAAGCAGCATGTGGAGGTGAAGGAGAGGTCTTTAAAATACAGACTCCTGGACATATTTCAAAGGCATAAAATCAGTCTGGCTGGGATGTGACCCAGAACCTGAGTTGTTATGGTTACTCGGTCTTGTGCCCTGAAGAAACTCTAATGGAATTGGAAGTAATACACCTTTCATTGTCAAACTTTAGCCTGAACTTGAACTTTCACACTGTTTGCTTTGCTCACAAGAAGAAGGAGTCATTTTAGTTTAGAAGCTCCACATTGGTCCTTCCTGTTTAGCCACTCAATTCTCATTAATATTCCTTTAAAGTTTAATATAATGACTAATTCCCAAGCGTCCCCTTTCTTTCAGAGTGACAGCCCTGCCACTGCTCTCTTTAGCCGTTATTTTGTCCTGTATAATGTTTTAATTTATCCAGATGTTTTAAGTTATTAAATATAATTATAAGAAATATCTAAAAGATAAAATCATGAACTATTACCAAAGTTGGCTACGATTTGTTACATTTTGAATGTTCTATCTTTTGCTCTGTATTTGAAAACTCAGGTTTAGATTCAAAAATAACACATCTCTTAGCTAAGCTCTCATTACAGTTATTTCTTTGCAAGTAAGAGCTCGTAAGATCATATGATATATTTATAACACATCAAATACCCACATGGTGAGTATGGTTTTGTGTTTCTGTCTCCTCTATTCACTTAGCAACTTTATTTTTCATGTTTGGAATTTCAATTCTGTAAGAGGTAGGGAGCTCTTTTTTATTCCAGCCAAAGAAGTGCTTAATAGAGACATAGTAAGCTTTTTTGATTGTGATGATTCTTTAAAGGTTCAGAGTGATTTTATTATCATAGTGGAGAATGAAGATTTTAGTCTGAATCTTCAGGTTGAATGTCAGGCTTACAGATACACCTCTCTGTGTGTCTGTCAGTCTTCACATGCACTAATTCAGAGTATGTCCATTTCTTGTCTTTACATTTCTTGTCCATAAAATATGAAAGACAAAAATTAAGCCTTAATGAAAAGATATAGCCCCGTAGTGTCAATAGTGATATGTAGTATCTACCAGTATTATACACAGAAAACTGAACATAGTCGTATGCATAAAGTAAGACCTTGTATTTCAAGTAAGCGAATTTAAATCTCACAGACTTGGATTAAGAGTAGTAATAGTTTCCCATGAATCTGTTTTCAGAATTGTTCTCAAAATTTTCCATAGCTGAACATAAAATTCTAAACTTTATGGTATACAACATCATAAAGTCCTAAAATTTATAGAATGTAAGTTTATGGTTGAATAAGGTCTCTAAGTAAGACTTACTAAAGCTCTAACATAACTTCAATTTCAGAGCAACACAGGACCTCCATTTTGTATTTGTTCTCTCTCCTTCTTTGTCTCTTGCTTCCATCCTTTTTCCCCTGGCCTTGCAGAACAGCAGGCGGGGAGAGAATGGAATTGTGCCCCCAGTGAGTTCCTGTTATTACCCCTTTCATATTTTTCAGACTGTTCTTAAATTGTGATTCCCTCAAGAAAACTTACAACCCTGCTTCAGGGAGCCTGAGGAAGGAGATTTCAGCACTGAGAAAGTAAAATAGGCAACAAAATAACAAATTATAGAAACTTTAGAATCATAGAAATACAGAGTTGTAGAGCAGAAGTGGACCGCTGAGATCGTGTAGGCTGTTCCCTTCATGTGTAATAGCTCATTTTTTCTTCCAAGTTTTTCATATAAAAGTCCTAATGCAAAGAACAAAAAACAACAATCTCATCAGCTGTGACTTAACAAGAAACTAAATAAGTGTTTTTAATAGTGGTTTCTTGGGTAAGGAAGGTAGGAGAAAGCTTTTCTCTGAGGTGAAGTTTGAAGAAATGAAGAAAAGGATTTATCTGAATACTAATAAGTGTAATACAATTTAAAACTATTAAGTATTTTAGTTGTCATTGGTTAATCTTGCATGTCATTAATCTGACAAACTTGGTTTTGATTCAAGCTTGGTCAGCTTCATTGGGAAATGTGATACTGAGGAAATAGAGCTACCGGTAAGCCAGCTTTAGAATAGCAGAGCCAGCTGGGGCCTTCAGTACAGCAGAGAGCACACCTAGGGATGCAGAGAGCTCTGGAGTGTTAGGGGTCACGAAAGGCTGTAATAGTGGAATCTGTGAGATATACAAAAAGATGAAGATAACTTTTTTCTCAACAAGTTAGGAACCGAGTGAATTTAATAATAAAAGTATAATTATTAATGTTGGAAAATGTTGATAGTATAAGTTCCTGAATACAAGGAGTTACAAAACCACCTTATGAGATGGTCTTATTTTACTTAAAAATAAGTCATAGGTAGAAAATTTAAAGGAATCAAATATTTCATCAAATATTTCATATTATCAAATCAAAATATTATTCAATATTGTTCATGTTTAGCTTCAACTGATAAAATCATGATTGACTTCTTTTTGCTGCTTGGGTTATTGATGTTTTTCTAAGAGATGTATTTTTTTATTGTGTTTGGTACAGGGTCTCACTACGCAGCTCGGACTTGTAGTGATCCTCCTGTTTTCAGCCTTCTGAGTGCTGGGATTACAGGCATGTGCTACCAAGCCTGGTCTCAGTGGCTGGCTCAGCGTGCTCTGGGTTGGGGCTGGCATGGAATGTGCTGCCAGGGATCGAACCAGGTCCTTGTGCTTGCCTAAGCAGGTGCTTAGTCCACTGAGCTATCTCGCCAGCCCTGAAAGATTTATTTTTAATGTTCAATTTAAAATATTTCTATAGAATTGGAGAAATATTCAGTTATCTGAAAAATTAACTTTGTAAATCTATAAAAGAATCCTTCTAAAGATGTTTAAAATAGCCTAAACTGGACATTTAGGTCTTGTTAAACTTATGTGACTATCATAATGGTATTTCAAATCAAATCAAAACACCTTTTAGATAAAATTCTTCACTTGCAGGATTTTGCATGAGAACAAAATTCCTCATTTCCACTTTCATTGCATGCTAATTTCAAACCATGGCAGTTAATTCCTTGACAATAATCTCTACTTCATGTATCAGATAATTCCAATGTGCTTTCACAATGTTTCGAATTATACTAGTTCTACTATTTGGAGACTGATTTTGCCTTTTGGGTACATTCATGTTGGTACCTCTTTGCTCTTTAAATCTCTAGTGTAACATATGGTTGGTCTCACCATCATTGCAACCAGCTGTGGTTGGCCTATCATTTTGTTCACTCTGCATGAATCCAAAGTAATTAGCTCTTTAGTTTAATGAAAGTACTAGTTAACGGGTTTTTAGGTCCAAATTCTGTTGTTAGAGTGGGTGGTATGTGGAGACTGAACCTGGCCCTTACGTTTTAAACATAAGCTGTGTAATTTCCTTCAAATGCTATTGGAAGAAAGAAAGAAAGAAAGAAAGAAAGAAAGAAAGAAAGAAAGAAAGAAAGAAAGAAAGAAAGAAAGAAAGAAAGAAAACTAAATATTGATTTATCTTAAGGTTCTCATTTTAATAACCACAAAAAAGTGACAAGTTGCATATTTAATAGCAAACACATTGAAAGTTCTCCACCATAGCTATCCTGTGTGTGTCATTTCCTATTCCAAACATTCATCTGTAATGAAATGATAATTATTGGAAATTCACTATTTTTTTTCTGAGTTACTGAAGTACAGTAAGATATTTATAACCCTTGTAGGTTTGAGGTCCTGGTGAATGGGAAGAGTGCTTGCCTGGGTGCCTTACTAGAGTTCAGAGCCTGGTTCAGCTTTCCAGCGGTGGCCTGCCCCCAGGGAAGTCTTTGCCTCTCCCAGAACCTCCGTTTCTTCATCCTCAAATAAAGCCTTTGCACCAGATGACTCCCGTGGTCTCCCCAGCTCTAAAATGGTAACTGACTCACCTGAAGGGGCTCTATGAAGGCGGCCCAGGATGGAAGGAGAACAAAATGACTTGCACCAACTGTACCGACCGAGCTTCGAGTCTCAGGTGCTGAGGAGATACAGTGGTCGCAGGCACTTTTCTTCCATGTCTTGTCACTTGTTCTATAAAAGAAAAATGTTTAAAAGTTTTTATATAAAAGAGACCATAGGCTACTCTATTAGAAGTTTACAAGAAGATGGATTTTGTCGAAAATTACAAAAAAATTGTAACAGTTGAGACATCTAAAACAGTGAACAGAATGCTAAGGGAGACAATGAATTTTCTGTTGTTTATGGGAAAGAAACTGTGTCAGTGGCTTTATGGCCAGCCTAACTATGCTTCAAGGCAAATATGTTGCACATTCAGGAACTCAGGAAGTACTGCTGTAGGCTCTTTTATGAAATAACACTTAGAGGAAAAATTCCACCCAAACAAGAAATGACTGTAAAAGCTTCTGCAAAAGAACTGGTTGTAAACATTTCATGTTTGTACTTCTAGAACTAAATCTAAAATAATTATGTAAATGGGTGTAGTAGACTATAGCATTACACTGTAATGTCCTGACTGAAACAGCTTACCAAGAATAGGAGGACACAGCAGAAGGAAGTATGTGCGCGTAGGAAATCAGCTGATTGTTTTCTTCTTAATATCCAGGATTTAACTGACAATCAAATTAGGTAAAGATACACATGGTTTAAAAGTACAAAGAAAGGTATTTAGAAAAGCACCATTATTATCTGACAGCTGGTAAGGAATGGAATGAAAAGGCAGTAAGTGCTACATTTTCTAACAAATAATAGAGAAATAATAAATATTC